ATTCAATACTACAACTGTGGTGGCGATATCATTGCATTTTATTAAATTTGTTATCATTAGAAAAACTTCTTTTTGAGGCTAGGGTCTTCCAGCTTTGCCCACTCATTGGTTATGAGTAAATTTCACAAAGATTCCTAGTTTTCATACCATGGTGATATCACTAATTTCATTGAAATCAAGACCACTTGGAATGCTTCCGCCATGATATCCAAATCGTCCACAATTTGCAAATCATTGGTTTTGAATAAATTCAATAAAGGGTTCGTTTTTATATCATGTCAGTAATGCCTTTTATTGCAAATTTGCCCTTGTTCTTGACTAAACTTCTTGACTAAACTTTCTGACTATTACTATGAAAAGCGTTTTTGTCACTCAAACTCTATTCCTTTCCATCGTCGTGTCTGCTGCGTTAAACGTTTGTCCCACCTCAGTCATATAGTATTCATGGGGGAAACCTTCGTTTAGAAGCCAATTAGTGTTTATTTTATTTACCTGACTGGGGAAGAACATACGTAGGCTTGTACACATTAGGTAAGACGTATCGTAAGCTGATCGGATATACTCCATACCCGAACATGGGGAGGGCGTGACTGCATGCTCATTTGAACACCAGGTGGGATGTTTTTTTCTGGAATATTTCCATTTGAAGTAGCTGTAATCCTGTCTGGTCCTAGACAAGGGCACGAATGCAGTTGTCATAGAACGAAGACATCCCACCACAAGCGTTGCCGCTGCCACGTTTAGATATTATACGCAGCCACGCCCCTTGCGGATACCGTCTCAGGACACTTGTCAACCGCGGATCCTCCCTCATCCTTCTTCCTTCTTCCTTCTTTTCCTTTTTCATTTCTCTCACAGCATCTTGTCGCCCTATTTAGGTTTTAGTCGCTCTATTTAGGTCAGGTTTTTCTTCATATGTTCAGAGCTCATTTTCACGATGATCTGATTAATGTGCAGTATTATTATGGTGTGGCTCATCACTTTCCACTGTACCTCCTTCCCACTAGCGACCAGGAGCCACTTTTCATCTTCCTCGTACAGGACGAGGCTAGATGCCTGCACAGTTCAGGTCTTTCGGGGTGGTTCCCACGGTCTACGGCCAACTTGAGTCAATCCCTTTGATCCCGTCAATTTCTGTTTTTCTCTGTGTTCTCACAGTTCTACTAGAGATTCGATGACCACTTTAGCCTCAGACATCCCAACGATTTTTTTCATGATAAGTGATTCATCCGGAGGAGTCCTTTTCCTTTGAATAAGCTCATCCCCTGGCTTGCAACATATTTGTGTTGCTTTCGACGCCTTAGCAGCGCGCCCGAACCCCTACCAAAAGTTCTAGCTGTTTTTAGTGGCTTTATGCAGGACTGCTGGGGCTTACGGATGAGTCGCGAGGCGAGTAAGATGGAGGAATGTGTCAAGATGATGTATTTTTGTAAGTAGAGAAGAGAACCTACGTCTTGACTGAGTTTGCAAACGTTTAATGAGTTTGCAGGCGCATTCCATTTGATAAAGATGTTCTCATAGATAACTAGAAACAGGGACCTAGGAAAGATAAATGAAAATGGAGCTATTTGACCCTTTGGCATGATTTGATGATCACATCACTCTTGTGTATTCTGAATGACTCATTCTTGAACGTTGTACCTCTCTTTATATCAACCATGTTGCTGAAAAAGTGCATTATTTCAGATGGGTGTAGTCATTCCGTTGGTATCGGTGACTGCATTCTGGCTCCTCATCGGTGCCGGAGGACCATTCTTGGTACCTAAAGGACCCAACAGAGGTTTGTACACGTCGTAGCTGATTTTTTTTGCGTCATAAAGCTAAAGCTCTGGATCCATTTTTTAGTGATTGTACTAAACTGTGCAGAATCTTCACAATTTCGACGATGGGTTTTGAATAGGATAATTGAAAATTGCGTGACTTTTTATGCTTCTAACGACCATAACTTCTTCGGTACCCAGTTGTTTGTGGAACGAAAAGTGTACAATATTGTCATCTGAATAATGCGGCGCACGAGCAAACAAGAACAGTCTTTCACCTACCATGCGATAATCTTGTGACCTTCCACTGGTTCTGTTTCCCCACAAATTGTTCAGCTTTTGCTGCTGGATTGACATTTCCTTTCTTATCAACAGTATTTACCTTCATTCGTATAACCCACACGTCTTCTACTTCCTAATCTTTTTTCGCAAAGGTAAGAAACATTGGGTCACTGAGGCGCATGGAAACACTTCATTCTCGAAGTTGTTTTAGTATAACTGCTGTTTAACGCCGCATTTTGCGCTCCAGAAGTTATCACTAGAATGCTGACTCATAGGCAAAAGTCAGATCCCAGACCGGACTCGATACCGCACCTGACTGTTGCTGACTCATATGCAAAAGTCAGATCCCAGGCAGGACCCTGGCGCTGAACGTGTGAACGCTATTAGGCTGTGGCATAGAAATGGCCCCGGTGGCGTAAGGGGATAACTCTTTTGGCCATAGCCAAGCGTTCTTGTGATAATTACGAACTCAAATAGCGTTAATTATTGAAATTTAAGTGGGTGGGTAATCTACTGTTTATAGTTTTATTACATACAAAAATGATTTTTCAATTTAGAGGAAGATTCGCGGCTTTCAGCTGTTTAACCTTCTTTATTTCAGGAATAATTCAAACTATGATCATCATGACAGCCGTCTGCTGCCATCTCTTCTGGATCATGGTGCGATATCCTTTCACTTTTACGTCTGTAAAGGAGTCTAAAATTCCTTCAATTAGTTAATTTTCTGTGATTTCAGATCTATTTGCATCAGTTGAATCCTTTGATCGGCCCTCAGATCAATGTCAAGACAATCCGCTGGATTTCATTGAAGTGGGGAGACTCACCGACTCCAGTTCCTCTTGGACAGTAAATGCGGGTGCGAATGTTCCCTTACCTTCTCAGCTACTTCACTGCGGATGACATTATATGCGGTTAGAGAAGTTTTGTGTTCTATATAGTTCCCACCCAGAACATCCGCCAATTTCGAATTCCAATCTTGCAAACTGTGATGTCCCAGTAGCGTTTAGTAGCGCTTGTGTAAAGTTAGCCACATAACTATATAACATGAGTTTTATTCAGTGTACAGGAACGCCTTTACTTTAACTGTTCTACATAAATCATTTTCTCGTCGCGATTGTTAGCTGAACAGCTTTTTATTGCCTAGAAACCGAGGTTTCCGATGAGTATAAACCATATTTGGAATTTCATGTGAATAAATTCTGTCGATTTCCTGAACTATTGAATGAGGTTTTGATGTAGCTGTACTGGTGAGACATTAGGTGCGGCGCTACTATAGTTGAGGAGTGAGGAGGGTGGCAGCACAAGCAAACCTGAGCCTCGAAAAGCGGCTCTAACTGGGATTGTCTGGGCTGCAAAATTGAAATTCAGTAAAATAGGGAGGTACAGTACTCCAAACAAGTGATGCTTCTTGGCCTCACCTTGGTCTTCCTTGCTTAGGTTACGCTACGCTCCATTGTGTGCTTTTAAGGAGCCAACACATTTAATTCCCGCACAATTTTCGTGAGTACTGTATCCCGGTTTTCTTATTCAACCCATAATCTTGTGCCTGGGCTGTTCCTACTATGAGCTTACGGAGGAGGAAGTGCCACTCACTAACAAGGGAGGTCGTTCAGGGCGTGGTGAGCTTTTTCAAAATGGTCTTGTGCATATTGTAGGGGCACATACGAGGACCAGAAAACTGAGGTTCATTTTCGCTGCGCGCTTCTACGAATAAAAAAAAACGTAAAAAATAGGTCGATGGTTCGGATCCCACCGAGGACAAAATTTTGCTTTTCTACAATTTTTCATTTTTGGATCCATGTTTGTCTAAATAATTGGTCCTAACAAAAACATTCACGATAAACTGAACAATCCTACTTTTATGGAGCAAAACTGCTTTTTCGTTCGAATTCGTTAGTATGCACAGACTCAGCTCTTCGGCACTATGCCGGTGCCAGATGGCACTGGAACCGAAAATAAAGTCTAGAATCGTGATCAGGACTGTCGATTACCCCTAGGAGCAAGTTTTGAGCGAAAAATTTTTTTTGACTTTTTCGGGTTGTAGGTGGCCGACCATTTGGTCGGCAGTGTGAGCGGAGTTTCACATCTTCGTAACAGCGATGCGTATCGTTGACGCTACGGACACCGGACAACCCAATAAGCAAACAGAAGGTCAAAAACAATTGTTCTTGATTGAATTTTGGTTTAGTTGCTAATCCAGTTGGCCCTGAGTCACAAATATATAAACTCTTGTTACTAACGCATTTCGCAAACTGTGGCGACAGAAATAGCGCTGAACCTTTCACTACAGTGGCGTATACAATGATACGAATGTCATCTGAGCAAAAGTGAGATGTCAGGTCCCAAATATATATATAGAGCGATCTATTCCATATTGAAGAGAGCGCGGGAATACACCACACCAAGTTACTAAATTCGCAATCAGATCCACTGTATAGCCTATGAGGATCAACGTCCAGCAACAATCTTGTTCAATGGTGCGTGGAAATCGAAATGTAATAGCTGAATAGCACTGACTCATGAGGTATAGCTACTCGGAATGTGCCCATAAATGGCAAATATCCCTCATTATATTCATGCGCAGAACAAATAAACGAAGGCGAGAGACAGCGAAAATCTGAAAAAGGTATGCAACCATCGGATTTTGTTTTGGCAACGCCAGAAGCGGAGACGCGAACCATCAACCCCACCCTCACTGTCCGATTGCGAAACCTCCACTCTATCCGCTAGGCCATCCGATGCTCGACTATGCCAGCGCTCTTATCGTTGATGAAACCATTGCAAGAAGCCGTTCACCCTTGAGCACATGACGCCAAGTGGAAAAGCTCACTTACGGCGGTGTTTTCGATTAAAACGGCCCTTTATAAGTACTGCGCCACACAGCAACTGGTCCAAGTTGCAGATGACCCACGCCGTAAGAGGGGGCCCCCCAGAACGAAGCAAATTCCAAGATTTCTTTTCACTCGTTTTTTACCTTTCCTGGAAGCGCGCAGCGAAAATGAAGCACACTTTTCAGGTCCTTGCATGAGCCCCCACAATATGCAAAAAACCGTTTTCGAAAAGCGCACCACGCCCTGAACGACCTCCCTTGTTAAGAGTGTGCTCCGCCAATCGGAAAAAAAAAAACCCTTTTACTAACGATTCTATGGTACTACACGGTCAGACCCACCACGGTTTTGTCTCGCGTTGTATTTTCCAAAGTACGACCACTTACGATCCTTCTCTGGTATGAATTCACTTTCTTATTTGGTCCCAGGCATCTTCAAACTTTCCCCCAAAGTTTTGGCATCAAGCCGGGACTAAGTCACCCGATCAAAGAAAAAGCATGGGTGCCGGGAAGTCCGATAAACAAAAAGAGAGGCGGATTGTTGTTCAGCGATGGAAAAAATCAACAATCAGAATTGGTTCCCCACCTTCCCACCCCTCCAACAGCCATAGGCGACCTTTGTGTTTGGTTGGCGAGCCCTGAATGGGGATCCATGCATGGGACCGAAAAGTGATTATTGTTCTGCTGAGCGGTTCTGCTTCACGTGTGGACCCCTACATAATCTAGCCCACAGTTTTGAAAGGGAGAGGCTATACCATCGTGAGCCAAGGACGTGCCACCCCTATTACGTCGCGCGCGCCAGTGTAAGAGTTGGACTACTGTTTTGAAACGCTCAGCACGAAACAATATTGTGCCCCTTAGCAGACTCTGCATAGCGCCTTTTCTAACGCACCGTTATAGCGCTTAACCAAGGTGCAACATGCCGACCCGGACGCCCACCTCAACTACCCGCCCACAATTGGCCGCAGTCACATCGACGCTGGCATGGACATATGATACATACGTGCGGTCGTACCCATCAAAGCGGTTGCTGGCAGGATGCCAACGGGAAACGCGTCCGAAAATTCTCGCCCAATGCCGTGCGGAACCAGGGTTTTTTTGCAGGTTTTAGCCGTTCAATTTCGCTTTTTCGCCCACCACTGGGGCGATCCAAAATGAAATTGCCACATACCCGCTTTGAAAAACTTTTCATAACCTCGACGGCTCACCGAGTTAGTCGCGCTGTCGCGTGCCCCCTCCCCCCCCCCCTTTCCTGAACTTCAATCGCTATGTCAGCTCTGCTACCAATAAGTTCTGTAGTCTATTTATCTGTAATAATTTATCTTCACAAAATTCTATAAAGCTTCACAAATTCTATAAAACAATACAATTTGCACTCTCAGGCAGAATTCTTCGAATGATTATGCACGGCAGGACTTAAAGCGAGTATGACAGTATAAATCAAAGTTGACAGTGAATAATGTGGAGTGAACAACCGTAGCACTGGTCGATGTGAGAGACACGAAGTGGCTTGGCAGCATTACATTTGAAATTCGCAACACACACACAATCATAACAGATCCGATGCACTTCTTTGGGCAATGGAACACAGTCTGGTTGCTTTAGTGAGTAGTGAGTGCAGTCTTGTTCGCGGCGAATGCTGGGGCGTGTCAGATGGGCTAGGTTTGGCACTGCGACAGTACCTTTTCCACCAATTGTTGTCGCTCAACCGCTTGAACAGTTGGTGGAGAACGGGCCGCCGCCGCGCCAAATCCCGCCCCAGGACACACCCCAGCATCCGCAGCGAACAAGACTGTTCATAATGGATGGCGCAACAAGACCAAGCGCACCATTGAATGAACAAAGAAGCAAAATAGCACGTATAAACTCACTAGAATAACATCTCTTCAGTACGAAAAAAGAGAAATGCGTACAACATGCTTAGTTCGTTTGAGCACAACAAAGCAGTTTTTGAAAGGCAGGCTGAAAATAATTTACCTATAAGGAAAAGAATTCGCAACATAAAACAGACAGACTGAAGAGAGCTCATAACAATATGACATAAATATGAACAACATTTGGAAGTGCTACTGCAGTCAGGCGGGTCAGGGCAGCGGCCCGGCGAGATGTTCCCTTTACCGAGGCTCAGCCTTGTAAGAGCGCAGGCAGCTAGAGTACGCGCGCTGTCTCGTATGCAGAGGAGCGGACATCGCCGCGCTGCTGTATGGAGCCTTCGACTGTAGTAGCACCTTTTCGAGATTATATGACATCACTACGAATGAAAAGTAAAAAAAAACACTGCTAAAAGAATGATATCAGACAATTTTTCAGTGGGCAGTGAATGAGAGATGGTTTCGTTAATGTCAATGATTAGAGAAAATGGTTAATTATCGGTACATAAAAAACAATCAAAAGTAAACACAGCTAAGAACAAATTATTACCACTACTATTCATCATGCCATTGTGAACGCATTGATGTGTCCTACCAAAGGGCAGCCGGCATACCATATGACAGCTATCAAGTACCAGTTATTTGCTTTGGATCAATGCTGAACACGAGCCCTTTATATTTATCCGGAGCGCATTTGCCACAGTAACCGCCACATCGACCATCGATCACAGCATTGTTCTGAGAGAAATTAATGTTCAAATCAGTGCATCGACAAAAGGGATTTCACTGACATCAGTGAGATGAGCAATACGGTCTTGTTCGTTGCCGATGTAAGGGCGTGTCAGGGGGAGGCTTGGCGCCGCCACCTTGTTTTCCACTAGACTGCAGTGGCTTACTCGCTTCGGCAGCGTTCACACTTCGCGATGACGCACAACGACGCGCTACCGCTGCAAGGGCGCTCCAAGTGCTATTGACGCGAACGCAGCCGCAGACGAGTACCTGTAGCGCCGGTCCATACCAGAGCACGTGCTGCCGTTGGGAAGAGTTTTCGGGAAATATGCCCTCCCCCTCGAATTTCGTCCTGTGCCTGCGACCACCTCCTCTCCTCATTCAACCTATTATCTTGCCTCTCTTACCAACCGAACTTTTCCAAATCTCCTACACCAACACTTCCCAAGAATTTCACAGTTTTCCCCAAAACTTGCCGTTGAGCAGAGGGGGAGGGGTGGTTATAGCCCATGTGAAGCGTGAAAAATAGCAAAAAGTCAACAACTGGGAAATATTTCTCCGTAAAAACTCCTCTCAAAGGCGAATACGGTCCCCCCTCTGACGGCGAGCGACTGCGATCCCTCCTCCCTAATGAAATACTCCCAACGATTTGAACGGCGCCGTGAAACGGGAAAAATCAACTATCTGAAGATTTTTTTCTGAGACCAATTACGACCTTCCAGCGACTAAATACGCTCCCCCAGCAGATCCCCAACGTAGGACATCCCCTGGTCTAAAATCTCTCAAAACACAAGCGGCCGGCGCCAAATTCCCGCCTGCGGCTGCGTTCATGTCTATAGCACTGGTGCATTTGCAGTGGTCGTCGCGCGTCATGCTGCCTTCAACAAATGGTGGAGAACGGGTTGGCGCAGCGCCAAACCCAGCCTCCCCCTGAGTCGCCCCAGCATCCGCAGCTAACATTCTCCTTTGATATAAAAATTACCGATGATCTGTCAATCCTCGATGTGGTTCGATGTCCCTTGTCTTCCCATTGCAAATCATCGACGATTCTCAACCCCGTGCCACGGAGATCTACAGAGAATCGGCCCTGAAACGCACAGATTCTAAAAAATCCTACGAGATGATATCACCGCTTTTTACCTGGGGGCAGTCCTTCATGCTATAGCAGTCACCTGCTGTACCGTATGGAACGAAAGAGCCATGCAAAGTGTCGGCAAAGACCATGTCGTTGACTGAAACAGTGCTTTGATGCTGAGATACACTCACTACCTCGGAGATGGGGAGGGCGTGGCTGCGTGCGTACTTCAGTGGAACGTGGCGTAATTCGTGGGATGATTCTATTTGGAACAAGTGTCATTTTTTATTGTGCTGGTTAAAGACTGGGGTCATGGCTCTCCCAAAACGGCAATACCTCATCGGAAGCGCAGCCGTCTGTCACGTTCCCACGGAGTACGCAGCCACGCCCTCCCCATCTTTGGATATGAAGTGTAAGGACATGC